GGGCATTCCTTGTCCATACCCAAGAGAATGGGAATCAATCCCTTATCCGGCGAAGTTCAATCTAATTAACTTCACAGCGTTTAATGGGATGGGTTCACCCACTCAGCATTTGATTTACTTCAAATCACACCTAGGGGTTATCTCTGGTAATGAGCCTCTGATGGTACGGTCCTTCGTTGGCACTCTTCATGGAGCCGCCTTCGATTGGTATCGCCGCCTCAAGCCAGGAAGTGTGAATAGCTGGGATGACATGGAGACTAAATTCCTCGCTAACTTCTTCGACGATGACACCGAGATATCCATCGGGTTGTTGCTTGACGAGAAACAAAAAGACGGGGAATTGGTTGATACCTTCGTCAAAAGGTTCCGGAACAAGGCGATGAACTGTCGGGACCCGATCACTGAAGAGTTCATTCTCCAGACTTGCCACAACAACCTCACATTGGACGTGTTGGAAGCAATGGGGACAGCACCGTCCAAAACATGGAAGGATTTGAAGGTCCGAGGAGAGCAAGCCGAGCGATTCCTCAGAAGGAAGAAGGCGGAAAGAGGCCAACAGGCGACGAATGCTCTGCAACAGAATTTCATCCCATGAGGGAAATGTAAGGCACATGCTAATGCAGTTGATGCTAATCAAACTTTCCAATTGCAACCTCAGCAACAGCCGCAGCAACAAGCACCACAACAACCTCGGTCGCAATGGCAACAACGGCCTCAGAAGTAGAAATCTTCGGAGCCAAGATTTCCTAAAGTGTACTCCTTCAAAGATGACGAAGTTCCCAGCATCTTTAAGTACCTGTTGGAGAATAAAAAAATCCAGCTGCCGTCGATCGTGGATCAAGAAGGGGCTAGCAAAGTGACGGATCCGAAGTATTGCGCATACCATAGAGCGGTCCATCACCCTACGAAGTCATGCTACCATCTCAAGGATAAAATCCAGGCGTTAATTGATGTAGGCGTCATAACCCCGAAGCCGTCCAAGAATGTCGGAGCAAATGCAGTATCAATCAGCTTTGGATCAGTGCCCACAGCATGGTTTGAACCAGAACGCATCACCAAAGTTGGAATGAAGATAGTGAATGACGACCCATATGGACAGCGCCAAAAAGGACTTGTGCCGCACACAGCCCCAAATGGCGAAATCCTCTGGGTTCAACCTGACTTAATTGAAGATGATCAGTGGACGACTTCCTCGACCAAAAAGGGTAAAGGCAAGTCCTGCAATGCTACCTCCGCGATCTTCGAAGAGGATGGTAATGAAGCTCCTACCTTCCCGCTCTCCGAAGAAGAACAAGAAGTCTTTGCCACTAGAAGCGGAAATGAGTATCACTTCAACTACCCATCACCTAGTGATCAGTTAGCTGAGCAGGGGGTAACTAAACGGGGACCAGCCAAAACTCTCACGGAGCTGGGTTGATTACGGCCGCCTAGACCGGTTGAACAAGCTCGACGACAGCCGGTTGATAAACAGAAAGAAAAGAGACCCCAAGAGGTTCAGAATGCTACGTTGATGATTTGGTTGTAAAAAGCCGCAACAAAGAAGATCACATCAAGGACTTGAAGACGATGTTCGATCTCATGCGAAGTCCTAGATCTTGATCTTCAATAAGCTCTTCTAGGTAATCTCGCGGATGAAGCTTTAACTTGGATCTTGAACTTTGAATAGCAAGGATTCACCGACATTCCGCCAACCTCCTTTGGATATCATCGTTGAAGCGCAATCCATCCATCCTCCAACAACGTTGTTTGTCTACAATAAATACCAACCCCGTAGCCCTCTCAGATCCGAACCCACCTCGCCGCTGCCGCTCCCCTCCGACAACTAGTGACGCCACCTCGTCGTTGCCCGACGCCGACCCGAGCTCGCCGCCTGGCCTTCGCCGTCAGTCGTCGATCCGTTCGACGAAACCCCGAGGCAAGATCCCGATCCTTGTTTAGTTTCGTTCCAATTTTTATATTCGTCGTAGATTATTTATGTGCAAGATCCCGCTCTCCTGTTTCGTAGTTTGATTATTTACATTTTTTTTGAATTAATTGCATAGTTTAATTGTGTCGTATTTATCTGCGTGGGTTGTTTGGTGAACAATATTGATTTACATAATGGATATGTGATAAATGATATTTTCAGAATAATTATAAGGAATTAAAAGAATTTAGTTCGGCAAAAGAATCATTTTTAGATAATTATAATAATTTAAAAGAATTTATTTTGAAAAATGAATTAGTTTAGATTAATTGTTAAGTGAAATAATTTAAAACGAATTTATTTAGAAAAAGATTATTTTCTGAATTGTGTAGATGTTGTTTATGATTTATATTTCTTATTTTGATTATCTAATATGCTATGATATTATTGCACATGATTTGTTGCATTGATTGTTTCATGTTGTGATTAAGAATCATTAGGTTTATGACTATAGTGACATGTATGACATTGTTAGGATCTAGAATCCCGTGTGTAGTTGACCTGGAATTACGAGAATTGGGATGGGAAGTCTTGGTCTATGTGGGCGGTTGAGATTGTTGATGTTGATTCCGGGCTCGCGCTGGTGAAGTTTGTGTAGTCACCGGGGTGGGTCCGAGGAGTTGTGATATTGTGATTGTTAATTATTTTCCAGGCTCGCGCCAGTGTCTTGTTTCGGCCTGGGGTGGGTCCGAGGAGTTGTGATATTGTGATTGTGATTATTTTCCAGGCTCGCGCCAGTGTCTTGTTTCGGCCTGGGGTGGGTCTGAGGTGTGCGGTGTTATCGAGATTATTGATTGTTTTCCAGGCTCGCGCCAGTGTCTTGTTTCGGCCTGGGGTGGGTCTGAGGTGTAGTGATATGAGATTGTTGATGTATTTTCCAGGCTCGCGCCAGCGTCTTGTTTCGGCCTGGGGTGGGTCTGAGGAGCAGGGATATTGAGATTGTTGATTATTTGAGATGAGTGATGTGATAGTTAGTTACCTGACCACGATTCTTGGCTAAGTATGATTCTTGTGAGATGTAGGACGGTTGTACTTCTTTTCATACATAGATCGGGTTAATATTTAATTATTTACAATTCGAGACATATGGTATATACATGAGGGTTTCCTTGTTTGGATTATTACGCTCGACGTACTACGTCTCGAGTTGTAGATTTTTAAGTATTAATTTCATCTATTGTATGACCTTGTTGCTTGGATGATTAGTCTGATCGCTAGCTGCATGACCTCGTTACCTGATCGATTTTGGATGCTTTATGTTATCATGATTTAGTAGTGTTTTCATGTTGATTTGTGGATTTCAATTGTACGTTCTTTTGTTGTTTCTTTTATCGTATCGATTTCCACTTTGGTTTTCGTTTGTTCTATTTTCTTTGTGGGGTCGGGTCTTGCCGTGCGTCATGCACCTGACGTACACCTGTTTTCTCTGGTGTACGTCAGACTTAGAGGAAGAACAGGTTCAGCTGGGGGATTCTCAGCAGGAGTGCCCTGCAGACGGAGCAGAAGAAGCTGAAGCTTAGTTATTGGTCCTCCGTTTTCTTTTGTACTACCTTCCATTTCTATTTGATCAGTGTATTTTGTATCTTTTCAGTATTCATTTGTTCATATTTGTATAAGGGCACGTTTGACCCTAATATTATGTCTTGGATGATATTCATTTGTGATATGTATCTTTTCCATTCTGTGTTGTTCATTGTATTCTTGTTATGTGTGATCGGGGACCTGTGACTTCGCATTGTACTTATTTCTAGACGCTTAACGTATTGGATTGAGAAGAAAAGAAAAGAGAAAAAAATAATGATATTGTATATTTCTTCTCAATCTAATACGTCGCGGGCTTGTTCACGTTCCGGTTCCCGTGTATTTTGGGAAGCGGGGCGTGACAGGTTTTTTTGGTGGCCCATGCAGGTCACGGTTCCGAGTCCTCACTAGTAAGAATATGATAGACAATTTAGAAACATATCATATTTCATCCATGAGACTATTCTTGAGCCCTTATCCTATCTTCTTGATAGATTTTATTTCGTCCCTATCTTATCACTTTTGACTCCGGAACCTTTCACTATTTCTTATCTCGTAACTTTCCATTGTTTCTTGTTTCTTGTATCATTTGCTTATGGATATCTATCCATATCTGTCCTTGGGTTCTTTTAATTCCGAGGGCGGAATTTGTTTTAAGGTGTGTAGAATGTAAGGACCATGAAATTTTAATATTAGTTAAAATAATTTTTTGATATTTTAAAATATTTAATTATGATTTTTAAAAGAGTATTTGTATTTTCTCGATTTTGTATAATTTTCTATGATTTAAAAATCTGATTATATATTTATTTAAATGATTTTGATATTTATAAATTTATTTTGTGTGATAAAAATTTCTGAAATTAATTTATTATGTTATCAATACTATTATGTAATATTTTAAATAATATATTGTGTTATTAATATTATTACAAATTATTTCACATAATACATAGTATTATTAATTACGTGTTTTTGGTATAATTTATTGTATTATTTTTATTGTTACATATTATTTGTCGTATTAGTATAACTTGTACGTTTTACTGTATAGATAGTTATCCCATATTTCTTATAATTCAAATTACTGTAGCTTACAAAGACAATCTAAGTGATAAACCCAATAATGTTAGTAAATACAGGGGCGGAGGGAAGGGGGTATAGGGTATTCCTTGGAATACCCTAACATTAGAAACAATTGCCCATATGGTATAAGCCAAGGATTGAAAAATCTCAGCGGTAGCGTGGGAGTGGGTTCGAATCCTGCAGGGAATTTTTTTCATGTTTTAATTTTTACATTTTATTTTTATTTTTTAACCCAATTTATACCCAACCTTTTTTACCCGACCCGACCACTTTACCATTTCACGGTTTCACCTTATCTCACAAAACCTGAGACCACCAAACACCAAACCCTAAGACCCTTCACCTTCAACTTCAAGAATCCGACCAGGCACGCCGCACGTCCGCCTCCTCAGTCCTCACCGCCGGCGCCCAGCCTGAGCCACGTCCGCGCCCGCCTTAAGGAGTTCAGGTCCAGGCTCTTCCCCTTCTTTAATTCATTGTTTGTGAAATTTAATTGAAGTGTTTTTTTGGTGTGAAATTGATTGTAGGTGATTTGTTTAGGAATTATGATTGGATTGATAACTGATTTCTATAAGATTGAATTGATTACTTTATAAACTGAATTCGTTTTTTTGTTTGTTTGTGAAACCAATTTAGTTTAGGTAATTGATATGTCAATTTAGTGGTATTTCAATTTTAATTCAATGGTTTGTTGCTACAATGTTAAAACGAGTCCATCAATTGTTTAAATGTTTCTGTTTGAATTTTTTAGAGTGATTTTAAATTAATAAGTCATTGTATTTTTTTATATAATAGGATGCTTAATTACTTCCAACGAAAACCGAGATTTTCGGAGAAGCCAAATGTTTCTATCATTGGTGATCAACCTTCTTCACTTCCCTCCTCAAGTGACACTCAACCCGAACCGATTTGCACAAATAAAGTGTTTAATAAGGGAGCATATTTGGAGTCGGATCCTGCAAAAAGAGATCAAATTCTTGATTATCATCCAAATGATCAAGAAGAGGTAAGAAGAGCTTACCTTGTAAAGGGCCCATGTCGACCAAACTTAAAGGAATATCCTACCACAAATTTGGGGGGAAGGGATCGTTCTTTTCATAATAGTTGGTATGAAGAGTATGATTGGTTGGAATATAGTATAGAGAGAGATGCTGTATTTTGTTTGCCTTGTTATGTATGCTACAAAGGTTCTAGTAATCCAGCATTTGTGAAAGAAGGTTTTAAAGGTTGGAATCTCAAGCACAAGTTAAATAAACATGTTGGTGACAAACCCAATAGTCATCATAAAAAGTGTGTGAAAGCATGTGAGGATCTTATGAAGAAAAATCAGTGTATCGAGTATTCGTATGCAAAATATAGTACAAAAGAAGAAGCCGATTATCTTGTTCGTTTAAAAGCATCACTTGAAGCTGTCAAGTTTCTTGTTAGAGGTGGATTGGCATTTAGGGGACATAATGAGGGGGAAGGTTCTTTTTATAAGGGTCATTTTCTAGAATTTATTGAAGCATTGGGGAGAAATAGTGAAAAAATAGCGGGAGCAATAACAAGTGGTGGAGGAAATAGTAAAATGACTTCTCCTCAAATTCAAAAGGAACTTGCAAATGCATGTGCGGTTGAAACTATTAAGAAAATAGTTGGAGAAATTGAAGATGGTTTCTTTTGTGTTCTTGTTGATGAATCGGGAGATTGCTCGGGTAAAGAACAAATGGCGGTTGTGGTGCGGTTTGTTGATTATAGAGGTTTTGTAGTTGAAAGATTTATTGGCATTGTTCATGTTGAGGATACAAGTGCTATAGCCCTTAAAGGGGCTCTTGAAACATTGTTGTTGGGGTTTGGCTTGTGTATATCTAGAATTCGAGGTCAAGGGTATGATGGAGCAAGTAACATGAGAGGCCAATTTGGAGGTTTGAAAGCTCTAATTCAAAATGAAAATCCGCAAGCCTATTATGTCCATTGTTTTGCTCATCAACTTCAATTGGCTCTTATTTCAATGGCGAGAAAGAATGAAGATGTTGATTGGTTTTTTTGTGAAGTGACTCGTATTGTTAACTTTCTACGGTCATCAAACAAAAGACAAGCTTTGCTTCGTAAGAAACAAGTTGCTCATTTTGCAAATTTAATTGAAAATGAATTGGTGGAAAGTGGTACGGGTTTGAATCAAGAATTGTCTATTGCAAGAGCGGGTGATACACGTTGGGGATCCCATTTTCGGACTCTTAGTAGGTTGGTTGATTTGTTTACTCCCATTATTGAAGTGTTTGAAGATTTGAAAAGTGACCGGGCTTCAAAGGGTGAACCTCAAAGTTTGTTAATTGTCATGCAAACTTTTGGTTTTATCTTTATGTTGCACTTAATGGTGGAGGTTTTATCTTTGACAAATGATTTGTCCGAAGCATTACAAAAGGGGGATCAAGATATTGTGAATGCCATGGAACTTGTTGAAGTTAGTAAGAAAAAGTTTCAAAAAATGAGAGATAGTGGTTGGGAAGCATTTTATGAACAAGTTGTGGCTTCTTGTGGTAATGTTGAAATTGATGTCCCCGATATGAAGTCACGGTATGTCAAAGCTAATAAATCCAAACGACTTGCTCCTTTTGTGACAAATTTTGATTATTTCAAGAATGATTGTTTCTTACATGTCATTGATTTTGTATTGAAAGAGTTGAATGATCGTTTTACGCCTGAGAATACCGAGTTGTTGAATTGTGTTGCTTCTTTGAGTCCTTGTTCATCATTTGAAGCCTTTGACACTAAATCACTTGTAAGGTTGGCAAGATTGTACCCAAATGACTTTGAAGATGTTACCGATAAAGAGTTGTCTAGCCAATTTGAGACTTACATTGAGTGTGTAAAGATGGATGATAATTTTTCCAATTTGAAAGGTATCTCGGATCTTTGTAGGACTCTTGTCCGAACGAAAAAGCACAAGACGTTTAGATTTGTTTACATACTAGTGAAGCTAGCTTTGACATTACCGGTTGCAACCGCAAGTGTTGAGAGGGTATTTTCCGGGATGAAATATGTGAAGAATGAGTTGAGAAATCGAATGGCTAATCCATGGTTGAATGATTGTTTAGTGACATTTGTGGAAAAGGAAGTGTTTAGTACGATCAATGATCGAGATATCATCAAGCGCTTTCAAGGCATGAGCAAGAGGAGAATGCATTTACGATTGGACTAGATATAAAGTTCTATTTTGAGTTGTATATGAAACAATGATATATTTTTCATGTAATATTTGAATATTTATATTTATTGCTTTTTCTTTATATGTTTTACAATTAATGGGAATACCCTGGATTTTACTCCTGGCTCCGCCCCTGACTTTTATCGCACTATTCCAAACAATCTAGTCATTACCTCTCTCTTGTTAAATAATTCCAAATGTTAGCATCCTTAAATTGAGCTAAATGTTTCAATACATATGGAGCCACATCTCTTTGTCCTAGGCCTTCCTGATTACGCAAAATTAAATTTCTATAAAGCCAATAACCAACAATATCTCAAGATCTACTTTTCTATGTCATGAAAGCCATTTGCAAATTCCCTCATAGTTCCATCGGTAGTTATTTTCACCCAATCTTGCTATGGAGTTTCTTGTCATGTGCTCTTCGACCTTACACACTCTCAAAAAACATGAGCTTCATTTTCTATACCTTTGTCACACAGTCCACATGTATCATATTCTAAGCGCTGCTTTTTTGCGTAGGATCTAACTGCATATTCGCCGTCTGAAGATCTTGATTTTGTTCGGAATTAAATATTGCCAAATTGTCTTCTAAATGCTCTAATGATTTCGGTTTAATGTTTCCAATTTTCCTATACCATTGTCAACCATTACTCTCGGGACATGATGTGCGACTTTAACCTATAAAAATTTCTATTGGAGCAATGCCGGAAAAAAAAAACACAATCTTCACGATTCAACGGTCCCACAGGTGTTGCCATCACATCCCTCACACGATCCTGCCATCAAATCCAACCCCTCCATGTTTAGCCATCTGCTTTTATAAATTCAAACACCCCCTCCTTTACCAATTCTCCACTTTAGACCCCTCGACAACACTACTTTTCCCTTGAGAATGCTTTGCCATGCACTTGAAGAAGAGTGGCCTCCCACCACTACAAAGAAAATTGTTATGTCAAATCCCTAGGGTGAAAGAGGAGAATAGGCTTCCTTGTTGGGATTGTGTTTTTGATTCTTTGTATAACTTCATGAGAATTAGATAGGGTTAGAGATCTATCATAATTAGGAAAATATGTCTCATCATGATTAGGAGTTTAAATCCTATTCTAATTAGGAATTAGTTAGGCTAGAGATAGGGTTTTGATTTCCTTATATATATATTCTTCTATTGTTGGATGAAATACCAAGCAGAAGAGAGAGAGCCAACATTCTTGTAATCTAGAGTTAGCAGAAGGTGTAGCCCGATTCAAGAATATTGTGTGAGAGGCGAGAGTTTTGTGGTCTTTGTCCGTGCAAAAGATTACATCATTGGGAGATGGTTTCACAGTCTTTGTGTGTTCAAAAGATTGAAAGGGGAGGGCTTTGGAGATAATATGAGAGTTGATTAGTTGATTTTGTATGTGAGGTTGAGAGATTGAGAGACGAGAGTTGAGTAGTTCCTCTTGTAGTTCTCCCTGATACATAGTGGACTTTTTGTGTTGTTGCCCATGGACGTTGGTCGAAGTTGGTCGACTGAAACACGTAAATCTTGGTGTTCTTTCTTATTAATTATGGTCCTTTTATATATTATCTAATTGTGGGTTGGCTTCTAAGATACGCAAATTGTAGTAGGCGGGGAGACGAAAATTCCCCAACAAGTGGTATCAGAGCTATGTTGATGGATCCGGGAGCGAGTTTGCAAGATAGAAGACGACAGCGTGCAAGATTGAAGATCGGCGTTACAAGAATCAAGATAAAGAAAAAAAAAAAGAAAGGAAAGTCCATTGTTGACAGGAGGATTTAACGACAACTAATCATCCAGAGGAGAGCACCCGAGTGATGCGTTGTCCGATGGTGAAGTCTGCAGGCGACTGTAGCAGTGAATCGTGGTATCGAGGAGGTGCAACTGGTCACCGGCAGAGGGATTACGTGGATACGAATTGGCAGTGAGAGGAGCAGGCGGTGACAAGTTGGCAGAGTTGCTTGGAAGAATTCTCGAGAGGGCTTCGGTTGGCGCTGTTCGTGAAAATCTGAGGAGACAATCACGTGATTTGATGATTAGGTGATCTTGTGTTTGGAATATTTTGGTGTTTGGTGTTTTTGACTACACGTGATAGAGAAAGAAATCATTCTTCACACGTAAGAGAAGGAACTAGATTTTTTGGTGCCAAAGATTCGGTGTGTGGCTTTGTATGGTGTTTGCTGTTTAGCTCAATCCAATGGTTGAGTTTGATTGGAGTGTAGATGGGCGAATCGATGGTGGATTTTGGTGATCTAGCAGTCGATTCCTAGGTTTTGGAGTGCTTTGAACGCGATGAGAAGAAAGTAAGAGCTTTATAGGAAAACCATTCCCTCTCTATTTTTAATTGCTGATGCAGATTGATGGTAATTCATTCCGATGACCTCTATGCATGAACATGTAGCCTTGAAAACCCATTACCTTGTTGCCCATGAAAGGAATCATAGTGTGAGTATAATTCCCATATGTTTGGTTGTGCAACAGCCTGAGTCCTAATATATGTGGGCTTGTGATGTCCTAGGCAATTGGAATTTAGGTGCACCTCATAATTTATCTACGAGCTCAGCAGACTCCACGTCCTATAGAAAACAGTACTCTTCACAAGTCAACTGATCACCAATTCACTCTTGCGGCCAAAAAGAACACCGATTCCAAGTTGGCATTAGAGTCACGCGTAACAGAAATTTCCGTTGGGAAAATATGATGATTTGAAAACTCGTGTGAATAAAGAACATGAATGTTGTAGAATTCTCCAACCTTTCTCAGCTAACATGGTGAGCTTGAAAGCATATAATTGTGAATAGAAACCCTAATTCATTATGAGATCTCTTTGACTTTATATAGGCCCCTACACAACTTACAAATGAGTCACTAACTAATACTAATATGTCAACACTCCTCCTCAAGATGGGCGAAAGATATCTACTAAGCCCATCTTGTCACATCCTCTAATCATATCTACTGAGCTAAGTCCTTTAGTCAGACAATCTGCTGCCTGGTCCTTAGTCGAAACATGACTTAGCTCCAATAGTCCACTATCCAACTTCTCTTTGATGAAGAACCTATCGATCTCGATGTGTTTGGTTCTATCATGCTGCACTGGGTTGTTGGCGATACTGATGGCTGACTTGTTGTCACACCACAACTTCATCTTAGCTCCTTGATCCAGCTTCAGCTCCACCAGCATACTCTTCAACCATAGCAACTCAGCAACACCTAAGGCCATAGCTCTATACTCTGCCTCAGCTGTCGATCTCAATACCACCGACTGCTTCTTGCTCTTCCACGAGACTAAGTTGCCTCCTATAAAGATGCAGTATCCTGAGGTGGACCTCCTGTCATCAGCACAGCTAGCCCAATCAGAGTCACAATAGCCCTCAATGCTCATGTGTTCATTCTTTCTGAAGATTAGCCCTTTTCCGGGGGCATTCTTCAAATACCTTAGAATCTGGTACACTGCGTCCATATGACCCTTCCTTGGATCATGCATGTAGCGACTCACCACGCTCACTGCAAAAGAGATATCAGGACGTGTGTGACACAGATAGATCAACCTTCCCACCAGCCTTTGGTATCTGTCACGATCAACTGGTTCTCCAGCTTCAGTACCCAGCTTAAACTTCTGGTCTATCGGTGTAGTTGCAGGTTTGCATCCTAACATTCCTGTTTCTTTAAGAAGATCCAGTGCATACTTTCTCTGGGATAGGACGATCACCTCCGTTCCTCGAGCTATCTCTATTCCAAAAAAATATCGAAGCAAGCCAAGATCTTTCACCTCGAATTCCTTACCCAGTCTCACTTTGAGTTGGGCAATCTCCTTCTCATCATCCCCTGTAATAATCATATCATCCACATATACTGCAAGCAAGGTGATGTGACCTCCACTTCTTCGAAAGAACACGGTATGGTCGGCGCTGATCTGCTGGTACCCCATACCAATCATAGCCCTCCTGAATCTATCAAACCAAGCACGAGGAGACTGCTTTAGCCCATAGAGAGACTTCTTCAATCTGCAGACCTTTCCCACTGTCTGATCTGTACCGAATCCTGGTGGTATCTCCATGTATACCTCCTCCACTAGATCTCCATGAAGAAATGCGTTTTTCACATCTAGTTGGTGTAGCTTCCATCCATCATTTACTGACAGAGAGATTAAGGTCCGAACAGTGCTCATCTTTGCCACCGGTGCAAAAGTCTCATCGTAGTCGATGCCATATGTCTGACTATATCCTTTTGCCACCAGACGAGCTTTGTAGCGCTCAACCTGTCCATCTGGATTCTGCTTCACAGTGAAGACCCACTTGCATCCAACTGCTCTCTTTCCTTTTGGTAGTTTTACTAACTCCCAAGTACGGTTCTTCTCAAGGGCCCTTAGCTCTTCGTGCATAGCAGCTTTCCATTTCTGGTCCTTCTTTGCAACCTGCCAATTGTTAGGTATAGTAACAGAGTCCAGTGATGCAATGAATGCTCCATGTGCAGGGTGGATGTTAGAATATGATACAAACTGAGCAAGATCCCAACCATATCTATCGGGAGGATTTCCCGCATTACTGCGAGTAGTCCTCCGTATAGTTATTGGTGTGGGATGAGTAGGAAGAGGAATATAATCATCTTGAGAGGAGTCTGGTGGTGGTGTAGGTGTCTCAGGAGTTGGGGCAGGCGTTGGCAAGGGACTTGGCACCAGTGGCACTGTAGGTACTATTCCCGTAATTTGTTTCCCCTTCCTACTATAGGTAAGTAGTTCCCCCTGAGCCGTTGGTCTAACACCTCTTGTCTCATTCTCCTCTTCTTCTTCATTCTCTTGCTCCTCCTCAACCAAGTCTCCTTCCCAAGGAATCGTTACAGAAATTGATTTTTCTGATCTCTCACAATTCTCAGATATTGATTTCTCCATATTTACCAATCTCTCACCATTCTCCTCCTCTCGTCTCATACTTCCAGTATTAGGCGAGTTACCAACGGATGAAGTTACTTTCCGGGTGTAATATGGCTCGAGTTCTCGAAAGTGTACGTCCATGCTCACAAACAACCTTTTCTCCACCGGGCTCCAGCAAACATATCCCTTCTGAGTAGGAGAATATCCCACAAAGATGCACTTCACAGCTCTAGGGGCAAGTT